AGCCGGGTACGGGTAGCCCAATCGACTGCCAAGCTGTATTTTCCGAAGGTCCTGGTTTCACATCGGGCAATCTGTTTTGTAACCTGTACCAAAGAGGAACCGTGACTGTATAAAGTTTCGAGTCAATAATCATTGTTTTCATTCCAGGACGGATTTCAATATAGCACTAGAGTATTTTATGATGTAGTACGGTTGCTCATCAAGTAGCGATGCGGAATAATTTTTCAAAGAACGCCGGTTCTAATCCTAGTTAGGCTACAAATTTTGACAAAATGTGACACATTGAATGATGAAGAATTATATCTAAAGACCTATCAAATAAAACTGATAAAACGTTAAACTATGTCGTTTCTATAATCTTATAGTCGTTTTTAGAAAAAAATGTAGCATAACTATGTATCTGATTCTTAAAAAAATAATGAATATTGTACGTAAACAAATGTTCCAGAACAAAAAAAAATATACTGCTTCATTAATAAGGATTAACGGTTAAGTAATCATTTATTTCTTATGCATAAACTATTTGCTTTTAGGGAAAATCTCTTTCAAACAGGCATTTTGGAAATTTTCCTTGTATACTAGGCAGCAGATGTATAGAATATGCGAAGATGAGGGTCCGAGAAGGGAAAATGTAAAATGACGAAAATGTTTTTAAAGGGCGCGCAGGCATGATAAAATCTACAAGAACGCTATTTTTATACGCTGGATACAACTCAGAAGTACCAACAATGTTCCATGACTCTTACATTAAAAATAATTTAAAAAGTCATATAAAATATACGGTATGGTGACCATTTAAGGGATCTGTCTCGTCATGTTTTGCTAAAAACATAAGAATAATTAAAGTCTCTCGCAATTTTGTAATTTCATGTAACATAATAAATATATTTAAAAGTGATATTTTCCTTCGCATATAGTACAGAAATTGACAATTTAACTAATTTTATACTGCTTCTTTCATATAATAACTTTATTATACAGACTACTTATTCCAAAAAGGGATGCCTTGTTTGGAAACGGAATTGGATGTTGTAAACATCGAGAAACTACTATTATTAAATACGTTCACAAATAAAAAAAATGCTTACCATTTAGATGATTCAAAGAAACAAAAAAAAGACATAGGATATCTCGATAAATATACAATTGTCGAGGGTAAGACAAAAGTTGGGTACATGTATTTAGTATCAAGTAAAACAGATAAGAGACTAAGTTATGAAATAAGTACCAAAGTTTTGACAGATATATGGTTGCTTTATAACCTTAATTAAGATGAAGTGATACCATAACGAACACGTTATATTATGTTTTACATATTAAGATCGCAAACACATAAAAAAAGAAAAATTTTACAGAGATATATTTTTATATTAAGATGGAGGGGTTAATAATTTGACGTTACTCAACATTATATACAGTTGACTCTCGATAAGTCAAAATTGCTTTACTCCAAATTCCGCATTAATTAGTCGAAGTATTTCTAAAGTCCCGACAATTTCCTTCTTTATCTTTGTATTTTAACTTCGCCTAGGTCAAATTTTGCCTTACCGAAAATTTGGTCCCGTCAATCAAAGTCCAACATATTTTCATCTCAATTAGTCGAAGTTTGAAAACAGCCAACTGATCTAAGGTCGGCGACATCAAGGTGATGTTGTCTCTCGTGATTCTCATGTTCCATAGAAATTTTAATGGCCGGTCATCATTTTTTATTAACACGTCGTTAAAATGGCTTTAATCGGTTTCAGGACTTATCAGTTAGATGACTAAATTAAGACTTGTTCCAGTCTGACAGGTGTTAGTTAAAAACAGCCTAGGTATTGATGTGTGTTATCAACGTAAATGACATTTGTATAATTAATGTACCGTCATATTGCATACATTAATATGTACTTACAGTTTACGATAGTTGCTACTTTCGTTTTCGTCCGATGATCAATTCACTTCAAATATTAGATAAATTGTTGTTGAAATAAAAGTGTTATTGTGCTTTTATTGTAATGAATTGTCATGAGTGCTTATTATAAACATGTGCTTTACTGATAAATACTGACAAACTTGCATTTATGTCATTGCTACGAATGTTTGTGTTTATGTTTCACTATTGATATACCTGTATTAAATTTTGAATAATATATTATTGTTCATAATTTGTAGTTGTAAGTGATTTACCGTCATTTCAACGGTTAAATATTGCAGCATTGCCGCTATCGACAATAATAAACCTACTTCTTTGCACATCCAATCAGGCACATGTATATACATACATGTACGGATGTCAACGTAATGGCGGCACATCCACTTTACTCGAATTCCGTTTCTCTCGAAGTAAAACGCCAAGTCCTTTGGATTTCGAGTAACCGTGAGTCAACTGTAGTTATTAAGTTCTAAAATATTAAATGTATATTGTTAAATCTATGTGCGTTGCCACGAGGAATGCAGCTTTTATCTTTCTTGCCTTTTTTGGTTACCGTATTGCATATCGTTTTAGTACTGCGTTCTTTGACCATTTTACATTGATTTTTTATTATGCTGATAACTAATTTCGAATCTTGTGTATATATATATATAAAACACATTTGCTCCTAATTTTCAACCTTTTTTCCTTACAATACCACCCGATATTTTCAGATTTAGCCTTAGTCTTCTTTTTTAATAATTTTTTTAACGAAAGAAAACTTTAATTTTTGCTAGTGGTATCCTGCTTATTGTTTTCCTGTTTCACAAAACACAATTTCGTGAGGTCCATCCAATATCCCATTCAGCTGATGCAAAAGTATGTCATTGTTATGCAAAAATGAAGGTTAATGTGGTTAAAAAATCTCTAAACCACATTTTGTGATTTTGCACAATTACTCAAATGTTAGTCCTCTACACATAGAGCAGAATAAATGAGACATTTTCAACCTCATTTAAGAATGTTCTGCTCTTAATAAGCATCTCCTTATTTTATTTTAGGGCAGACAACTCGAAAAGGAGCTCGGTACAAAAAAATTCAGTGTTTTCGATAGAACTATTTTTTTCTCATATTCTAATGCAAAGTTGAAGTAATGTTTTATGTAACATAGTTAATATAAACATTCAAGCCGCACAAACACGAACACTCAGTTATTATTTATTGCAAACGTTTCAGCAGAATGCCTTCGTCTTTTTTCTTTTATGTATAAATGTATTCATAGCATACATCTTCACCAAATTAATGTTGATCCGCAACATGCACGTGTTTGGCTTAACAATTTTTGTCAACCAAATTCAAATGTTATTATCGAATACATTGAAAATAAGAAAGACCGTTCAAAAGACATTTATTAAGATTAACAGTAGTTTACTTATGAAACAATAAAGGACAGTATCAAGACGTGTGAAATGTAAGTGCTATTTTTTCAAAACTAATTTTTTTTCTTTAAACTAAAAATAGAAATAACAAACACATGAGAGAGTTTAATAAGTTATAAGTTTTAAGTTAAGGTTATACAAACAGGATATCTAGACTGAACAGTTTTCACATATGAAAACATTAACAAACTGGCTTGAATAAAATCAGGTTGAATGAATTGAAGAACTAGAAATTAAACACAACAGTTATGTTCAAGAATCAGGAATGTAGTATCTCTGATCAAATGCATTTTTACGGTCTCTATCCGTACAAACACACAGATGTGACGATGGAAAAGAAAGAAGCGGAATTCCTAAAGAACGCCGAAAACATATGTTGCAGACTGGGTCCAGAAACGGGGATGGTAAATGCATGCTACAGTCCACATCCCTTGCACTGTTGTATGTATGCATAAACATTGTAATGTTTGAATTAAGGAGCATTTACAAATGTGTAAATAAGGTGGTTATCATGGAGATTTCAACTTGACATGATGTGCGATTACATGAAAAGTCGAGTATAATCAACGCATAAAAAATGCTAGTGCCCCCAACAAGAAAAAATTGGTACAACTTAATAAAACCAAAGATTTTTGGCGCCATTTGTTTGATATTCGATATGTTTTGTTCAGAGCTGAGATCTACCTCAGTATATAATTGACGTCAGAACATACATAGGGTGGATGGGACCACACCCTTGAAGGGGTCGTTCTTGCAATGTAAATTTCTACATCCGATCTGAATGTGACCACGCCCTGTTTAATAACCTACAAGTTAAAAAAGTAAAAAAAACCTAGACGATTGCATTTTTAAAATGACGATACAACCTTGTAATAGATAATTGGGTAAAGAAATCCTTAAATACCTAAAAGGACGACCGGTGGCTATTGATAAAGTAGAACATCATTGAACAAAGTCCAGGAAGCAACAAAAATGGGAGGTTGTTGAATGCTTTGAAAAATTTCAGACATCAGTTCACCCTTTGCAATAGGCGTTAATTGCAGCGTTAATTGCTTAAAAACGTACTGTATAAAAAAGGAACGGCCTTTCACACGAAACCCTGCCGGACTGCAAAGGTTTGCTGGTCATGTAGTCACACACGTTCTGGTACCGTTGAAGATATCCTTTTTGTGAAAGATAATTTAAAATTGACTTACATAAATATTTCACAAACTGCTGGTAAAATTATGATATTGGCAGATAAATTACAACATATATTGATACAATACCAGTGCTTTTTTGTCCAAAACTTAAACAAGAAAAGTAAATATTAAACAATTGTGGGATTTTTAGCTGGTGAATATGACGAGCTATGTACTGAGAAAAATAATATCGCCTCGGTCAATATTAATTTTTCAGTACATAACACATCATATCTTCCAGCTAAAAGAAGATATATATTTTATTATATAATTTATAGATAACTTTTGTTTGGCTTACCAAAAATGCCATTGAATATGTATATACCCTATCCTTAATCATGTAAACGAGAACATGATTAATGTATCCCTTTCGAAAAGATAAATGTTATGTTAACAGCTACTAAAGACTACATTTATCTGGTTTAAATTTGAAGGCATTTGATATCAACTGTACATATGTAGTACACTAAACGGATTAATTTAAGAAATCTTTCGTGGAAGTAAATTTTAAAAAAGTGCTTTTATTTTCTTCTTTCTCATGGATTTCAAATTATAATCAAACAAAACATCAGAAAGTGTTTCATTGTTATGCATATTATTAAGCAATGGTAAGTCGTATTATAAACATGTGTCACAATTATATAACATTTTGTATGTGTAATATATTTTTGTAGGTTTTTAGCTTGACTATTTCTTACGATAACTATATTTAAATATAAGGAATGAAAATCAGTGTTTAAGATTTAAGCTTCATGATATAAGAATTATAATTGAATATCTTGTTGCTCACATCTTATATTTACAAAAGTAAAAAATCAATTTTATAGCAGGCTGTCTTATCATACTATTATCTTAAATGTCTATATGAAGACAATATTGTTTAAATGGGTCTAAAAAAAGAATATGTTTTCTAATTTATTAGCAAAAAAAAGTAGTACATTGACACATAGGAATATGATTTGACAACGTCTGTTAAATAGGGTTCTTTTTCATAGAAGATTATTATAGTTTGTCACGAGAATGACTGGCTTTTGCAATTAGATAATCTCATGAAGGACTGAGTACTAAAACTATAACCAATATCCACATGGAGGCAGAGCAGCACCGCATAACTTAATAAATGAAATATTCTCAGTTGGATAACTAGCAAGTAAATGTTTAGTTAACGTTTTTAGGTATTTATTCTATCTTAAATCCATATAGGCATTACTACGACAAACTATATCATTATGTACACCCAAAACAAAGAACTTTTTCACGTAAACGCCTTGTCTACAAAACAGTACTAAATATATAAGGAGCAAATTTCAAACAACTAATAAACAAACAAAACTATAAAATCGCCACAAAATAAAGCACAGATAATGTACTATTTTACAACTTAGATACAGAATCAACCATAAACTTTCAACCAAAAGTACTAACTGCACACAATCTAATCAGCATAGGAAAACAACTTGAACCAAAGCAGCCAATATTTACAGATATCTTCAACACCAAATCATCATTATTAGGATCTTGACTAGTCAAAATCACTCAATACAACTCAACCAATATGAACCAAATATAACTTACTAGCCAAATATAACTCGTCAACCAAATATTATGCAACAACAACAACAGCTAAATACAATCAATTAAGGTCACCACAATAAAATTAAATAAACTTCAACAATTCAACTAAACTCCCTCTTAACAGCAATAAAACGCCTTTCCTAGACCAAAAACTTGCTTGATCATAAAATATTTGCTATCTTGACATTTACATGTAGTTTATACATCGTGCGGGTAGCAACAGGTTTAAAATAACTGTTTATTGAAATATGATATTTACACTTCACCTCAAACAATGTATTGCTGTAAAAGAACTAACCAAGCAGATAAAAATGTATTGTTATTATGACATGTTTTAGTTGAGAATGATTTATACTGAATATACTTTCAAATTTCCGTGCATTTTCAAGTATTAGCTCCGCGTTGAAGAGCATTCAAATAGGCTAGAAGTAATGTTTACTTCATTGAAACTTATAGCCGTGTGTTTAAATCACAGAACGGTCTTTTTTCTCTTTTTTGCTTGATGTACCTCTCATATCGATTTAGGAAAGAAAACAATGTAATTAATATAGGTATTTATTGGCAAAATAATGCTAAATCTAATAACAAATATAGTACCTACGGTGGCAAAAAGGTGACATGTGTGTGTCGTGGCCACGAGTTAATAAGTCGTGGCCACGAGATAGCTAAGTCCTGGCCACGAGATAGCTAAGTCGTGGCCACGAGATAGCTATGCCATGGTCACGAGATACTATGTCGTGGCCACGAGTTACTAAGCCGTAGCAATGAGATAGCTAACTCGTGGCCACGAGATACTATGTCTTGGCCACGAGTTACTTAGTCGCGGCTACGTGAAAGCTAAGTAGTGGGAAAGAGATAAATAACCAATCAGATTTCAGCATTTATATGAAAATCTAAAAACAAAGTGATCCCTCAGAAGCATTAATCACAACAAAATTACAAGAGAATTGCAGACTCGGTTTGATTGAGTCTGTACATGAGGGATAATGAATAGGTGCAACATCCCTCACGCCCTCTAGCACCGGCTTGAGCGGTATTGAATTTGAATGTTTCTATTTAACTAGACGTGTGCTTTAGTACAAGTATGGCCCTATTTCACCTGCCTGTAAAAGTGCCATTTAAACATGTTATTGACTGGTCAATAATTTTACATTTAGCGTCACTGTGACCATGATTTTTGACCCAATGACCTCCAAAATATTAGATGTCATCTACTTTCTGGGTTATATAAACCATGGCTTATCCCTTCTAAATTATTTATCAGACAAGGATTTTACATTAAGTGTCATGGTTACCTTGACCCTTGACCTCAAACATGCTTATAGGCTATCTACTGTCCAAGGGCAATGTGCCTACCAAATAAAATAAACCAGGACTTATTCCCTTCTCATGTTATTGTAAAAACAAGGTCAACAGGCCGTAGTACGCACAAACTGACCGATTCGATTCACAAAATTGTCCCAACAAAGTGCTATAGTCAAAATTAATGTATGATGGGCCTTTGAAGGTGACTTTCTAACATGATCCTAAAGACAAGTTTAAAGTGAATATATTCAGTATTTTCAAAGATTAATGTTGCATGTAAAAGGAAGTTGTTAAATTAAAAAAAATCATAATATGCATAGTGTATTTTGATTGGTTAATTATCTCGTGCGCACGACTTAGTTCTCTCATTCCTACAACTAAGTAAATTGTGGCCACGACATAGTATCTCCTGCCCACGACATAGTATCTCGTTCGCACGACTCAATTATTTCGTGGCCACGACTTAGTAACTCGTGGCCACCACATAGTACCACATAGTTCCCACGACTTAACCAGCTCGTGCCCACGACATAGTAACTCGAGGCCACGACATAGTATCTCGTGCCCACGTCTCTTATCATTCTCGTGGCAACGACTAAGTTACTCGTGGCCACAACTTAGTAACTCATGACCACGACACAGTATCTCGTGGCCACGACTTGATTATCTCGTGGCCACGACTTAGTAACTCGTGGCCACAACAAGGAATCTCGTGCCCACGACTTAACTATCTCGTGGCCACAACATAGTATCTCGTGACCAGGACTTAGTTATCTCGTGGCCATGACATAGTATCTCGTGCGCACGAGATAAATAAAAAAACAAACACACGTCACCTTTGTGCGACCGTAAGTACCTGATATTTCAAAGTGTATTAAAATCAAAACTAGACGGTAAAAAGTATTTGATATTTTACAAGATCAATCATTATACTTTTGACAAAAATAAGGGAAACTTTGAAAAACAGAAACTCATTTGGATAAGTTTTTGGCATTCTTTTAATTAGGCTCTTTAAGAAGAAAAATTGTCAAACACGTCTCAAAAACGGGTGGGGTAGGGTAACATTTTTTATTCATAATTAATACATTTGAGTACAAACAATCATTTTCTTACGGGAAAACATTATTTATAAGGATGATATAGTAGATTATTTAAGGTTCCCTATTTCTGAAAAAGGGCCATTCTAAAATCCTAACTTCTGTTCAGAAATTTTGCGATAACTCGATTTCCGTACGGTAATGTTTGTTTAACTTTTGCATACAGGTGTCTTTTAAGGTTAATATCTGACTTATGTTGACAATTTTACAGTTCCAAAAGGTGCCCGTTAGGCTGGTCATACCTTAAATATTTTTCTAGGTATTGAAACAGTATTAAAGTGAAAAGATGAACGATTTTGCTTCGCTAGACTTTGTGAAAAAAATAAAGGCCATTTTGAAATAAACTTTTTACAAAACATTATAACATAAACTGATAGTATATGTATTTTCTTTTGCAATAATAGCAAAATAATATAATTTTATATACAATTCATACCAGTTTGAACTAGAAAAAATAATTAAATTTTATTGTTAGGCAACGGCTATCACGTCTTATACAGATAATAAAATTAACTTATTTCCTTCATAATTATGTTATAAGCATATGCATGTATATCATTATCGTACGTCATAAAGTTATAGATTATATAAGACACCTGTATCATATCGGAGCATAATATATTGTTTCAGAATGACCCCTTGGCAATATGGGCGTTAAACAGACGGAAAACAATAAAGGAGTTAAGAAAGCTCGGTGAGGAAATGAAAAATCATGCAAAGAACGCAAAAATTGCGAGTGCTGTTGGCGGAGGAACAAGTGTTGCAGCTGGAATTGGTGCAGCTATTTGTTACTTCATAGCACCAATCACTTTAGGTGCAAGCGTTGTACCTGGGATAGCTCTTACAGGAATCGCAATAGCCGGAGGTGTTACTTCCATAGGCTCTTCAGTTACAAATTATTTCATCGAGAAAGGATATTTGAGAAGTGTTCAAGAGGCTCTTGATAAAGATAGGGAATCCTTTGAGGCACTAAATAGGGCTGTTCAAATTGCTAACGAAGAAACGGCGAGGGAAAGACTGGAGCGTGCTTTTAAAATTGGCAAAAGCATTCCAGGTGGTCTTAATGTAGTGGCGTCTGTTGTTCGAAAACTTACAGTCTCCGAGAAAGCCGCAGCCAGCCTTTTAAAACTTGGACGGACAGCTAGATTTGCAAGCCACACAGTTGCATTTATTGCTTTGCCACTTGATGTTATCTTTTTTGTCAAAGACCTTATTGACTTGAAAAGGGGTAATATTTCCCAAGTCGCAGATTCAGTCATGGAATTAGCAGAAAAATTGCAAAAAGAACTTGAGGAAATTCTAGCAAATTCTTAAATACAAATAACTTCTTACTTTAAAAGATATTTTGTATTAGTATTTTTTTTATTTTCTAGTTCTAATGGTATATATGTGCATTCTTTTTTGTCATTGAAAGAAAAGTTCATATCATATACTTCTTATATTATTATAAGACAAATGAATCATAATATTCACTGTGGTATTTACATTTATTTTCTTCGGGCAATTGATTTGAAATAAAACCATATAATTACGTTTCGGACACTTATGCTTTGAAATGTTTATTTTTTAGAAAATACTTCTGAAGATAAATTATTCCCTTTATTTTTTACCCATTTTATGTTTGTGGAAAATTATGAATGCAGCTTTTAAATATTAGATAGTTTAATTTACTGATATATTTAAGGTTTAGATAAATATCCTTATTAAATCATATATCTTTACAGTTTATCCCAAAAAGCAAATTGACTTAAAGAATAACATAAACAAAAACAAAACAAAAGCATCGATCTTGATTGTTCAAATATCTCCGCTGAAAAGAAACTCAGTAAAAATCTTCAACCTTTTATGGTGGTTTGTTGATTTCCTCTCCGTTGTTTGTCGCAACGAAAGAGGTATCCATTATTTGTTTATTTTGAAGATGGCCTGTTTTCACAATTAATTAATTCAGTCGTCATATGCTTCAAACCCATAAAAGTTTTTAGGGTTTTACTGTTTAGCTTGTCATGGTCTGATTATAGAACATTGGCGGTTGCTTTTATGTACAAATATTTTCTTGGACAGGCTCTCTTAAACATTTCAGAATTCCATGAACATCAATCATGAACGTATCTGACCACAATTTTAATTTGTTTATTCTACTTTTCAATCCGGATCATAAGATGTCTTAAAGGGACTCCACTGAGGTTTAAAAGCCTAAGAACATAACATGTGAATTTCTTACATAAATGAACCGGGGCACTTTATTTGAAATATTTGCAAAGATAGTTAAGAAACATACTTTGAAATAAATTGTAAAATCGTATGCTTTTCTTAGTCCGATTTGAGTGTAAAGTGTTTTAACGTTTTTCATTTTGGGTCATTTTTTAACAATTTAAATCATTTATTCTGGAAAAACGAAGTGCGCGAACGATCTGAAATTTTGCACAAACATTTGTGGTTTAAACCTACAACAGAGGGTACATTTATCTGGAGAAAATATTTTCAGTCCCATCATGTAAAAAGACCTCAGTGGAGTCCCTTTAAGGTCAAACAAATATTTTCATGGATCAAATTAAATTGGTTTATTTAATACATGTAATAATCTTGATAATGTTTTTCATTTCAACGGAATTTCTAAACTTTCATAATGAAGCTTTGTTTGAGGCAAAAGAAATGTATTCAGAATATGTCTTGAATTATACGACGAGAAAATTGTGAAGTATAAGATAAAAGCATGTATAGGTTAAATGATTGTTAAATTTAAAAAAGATATTGACATAAAAATTTCCCACAGTGCGACGAAAACACAATCATTTTATTTAATATTTTATTTAATCATTGTATAAGAAAAAAATTAATTGTTTTATACTCGGGGGATCCTTCATTTTTTTATATCGTAACTGATGCTTTAATCTCAATTATTCAATTGACATTTATCTATTATCATATTAAATGTATTAAACCGTTTAAATTTGTTCATGTGAAAATAAAGTTACAAAATATTTTCACAAATGCAATGTTTTGCATTATAACAATAATAATAACATCGGTTTGTCATATTGTTGTGTAAGCAGAAAATAAAATGTGAAAAATAATTAAATTGCCTTTTATCGTTTATATTTTATAACTAAAGTGTTATAGTTTGTTTAGTAGACAGCGCTATACATTTTACGTATTTGCAACGACTTGATAGCATATGCATATGTTAAGTGTTTTACATTTGTTAAAGTTTTATGTGTTTACTTGAGTCGGCTAGTCATTTATTCTTTAATTTTCTGTTCCTCTTCTTCGTCGGTCGTCTATTTGATCTGGGAAATAAACTGCACAAGAACATTTAATAGCCAATGTAACGTTAAATTTCTGACGATCAAAATTTGATTGAAAACATATGTTTTAAAAATGAAAACGATATTAAATCTATCTAAAACAATACTGAGATATGCAAAGCCGTTTCGAAAAGCCTTTATATTAAATCATATATCGTTATTTCTCGAAGATGTATTGTTACGCTGGCACAAAGATTGTATTAAGATTTTTGGGATTTGAATTTATCGATTTTTTTTAATTTACACGTGACGACTAATGAATTAACTTCGACAATAATTGCCAAACAAAAATTGAAACAAACTTTTAAATTATTCAGGCAATATACGGGCAGACATAGATGTGTCATTAGGCATTGCCTGGAATATCCATGAAATAAAGTTTTATACTAATTTTATCTTTGTAAATGGTTATTTAATGTGTTTTGCAAGAACCATTAATGAAGACATTAAATGAATAAGTTTCTAACTAGATGCATTTGGCTAGGAACACGAATGCCATTTCTTAAGAAAGCCTATCTTGAATAAGATTGGTTTTAATTTTGTATTTATTAGCATGGTATCACTTACTATAAAAGCGAAAATCTTTTTCAATACATGTATATGATTGTATATTCGCAGTTCAATAACCATTTTAACTTTTGTCTGAAATCATTGACAATTTCATGTATTAATCAATGTTTTTTTGGCAGATTTGAATTTTTTTTTTATGTATTCACTAAGTAAATATTCTTTTTATGCAATAAAAAGGAAGAACATTCGAGTAAAAATTGACTTTGTCCGAAAAATAGATTTACAAGATTGGGACGCTTGTTATATTACTCACGTTATATAACTCACACTCATTCCGATAAAAAAGGCCTACTCAAAGACTTACCGTGTGTTAATAATATGCAAATAAATCTTATTCTAGTAATGGAACACGCGACGGTTACCGACGTGTACAACGTCAATGTCGAAAATGAATATTGTAAATAAACTAATTTGACATTTTAAAACATTTTACTTTAACATACGTGCAGATAAATTACTATAACAATTTTTCTTTCACATTTTCACACAACATTTTGCAGGGCAATCAGAGAAGCAGTTTTGATGAATGTTCAAAAAATAACTTTATTACACCTTCGTCAAGAGAATCGTGTAAATATCTTACTAATATCACATTGACAGATAAGTATTATCACTGAACCTAAACGGAAGAAAATTTTATGTTCACAATTTCACTGACTTAGCTACAGTGTACACTGATTTATAGCATATTAATTATACATCACTCAAATACTTGAAAAAAGCACCAATGCAATTGCAATTAGGGCCTATTTAAAAGGAAGGTCCTTACTTGGCGTTCAACCATTAAATATTCATCGTGAGGTCTGTGATATCTATGCGAATGGTCAAATGGTTCATAGGTCTGTTTTTTAGGTGGTTTGCTAAATTTATTACAGGGTACGAACATCTCAAAGGTGCTGCTCGCCAAGGTCGCGACCAATAATAAATAATCGTAAATATCCACCAAATCTTACAATTGATACCTCAAATACTTTTTGAGATAAGCTCCGGACAAAATAGTATGAAAAAGAACAAAGGGCAATAACTCAAAAACTATATAGGGAAGAGTTATCATTCTTGCGCACAGCATTTCTCCTCAATGAGATATATCCACCTATGACATTTTATGGTGACATTTTAAACACTTTTGAGTTATGCTCAACTCAGGTGAAAAATTAAGTATGAAAATAACAAAGGGCAATAACTCAAAAATTATGAAAGGAAGAGTTATTATTGTTGTACACTGCACACCTCCTGAGTAAGATCTATGCACCTATGAAGTTTCATGTTGATATCACAAAGACTTTTTGAGTTTTGCTCTGGACAAGAATTAATTTTGAAAAATAACAAAGGGCAATAACTCAAATATTATGCACGGTAGAGTTATTATTCTTTTGCACTGCACTCCTCCTTAATGAGGTCTATCCACCTATGAAGTTTCAAGTTGATACCTCAAATGCTTTTGAGATATGCTCCGGACAAATATGTCGGACGGAAGGACGGACGGAAGGACGGACGGACGTACTCACAAAATGGTACTTATGTGACTTTTCCTTAGATCTTTCTGGCCTTTTTTAGTCACACAAGGCTTAAAAAAGACACACAAGTAAACCGGAATGAATATGATCAAAGAGAATTTACTGTTACCCATTGAACTCCAAGTCACACAAGTACCTCTGGGTTCGTACGTAAGGACGGACGGAGACTATTTCTATATCCCTCGCCGCCTTTTCGGCGGAGAATAAAAAAAAACTTAAGCTAAGAAAGATAAACGTTTGGTAGATACTTCATTGCTCAGCGATGAACAAAAGACGCCAACAAGTCCAAATTTACCAGGTACCTTCGGTTTATGCTAATAAGTGTCCAAAATATTATATGATAATTGATGTGTTCAATGTATATCATGTTCATAATTTTCATAGATTTTTGCATATTATTAAAGTATTTATCCATTGAATTGCCTACCACCAGCGTAAATGATTTTGGTGTTAGAAATTATGATTTCTTACAGAAACTCGACAAGTTCATTTAAAAACATATCTTACATTTTATTGTGTTCCAATTTTCAAGATAAGTAACCGTTGTTAAATCTTAACATTAATTTTATTATTCTGAACTATAAGACAAGTATTTTTACATAAGAAGAGCTATTTACGATTTTTTTTCTTCAGAATTTTAGTTGTTTTCAGTATTTCGCTCTGATTGCAAATCCTAATCCTTCTCATAAAGCCGGAAGTTCGCTATGTGTCTTTGTTAATGGGACTTAAAAGCCATCAAGCTAAACTATTTACAAGATATTCAGTATCCTTTAACTAGAGCAGGATCAGGCTTCTCACAGTTACAGTGTTTATCGTAAACTATTTCAAGTCAAACGGAAATAAAAAATGCTATTTGTTGAAGAAATTACAACGCCTTCTTAATATAATCCTGAGTTCCTGTATATGAAGCGTACATGCTTGACAAAACAATTGTTATCAATGATATTTTAATACTGTATCGTCAAACAGATTTTCATTTTGTAAAGAGATTTGGTTCATATTGAAAAGTGTGTACTATCCTTCATAAATAATCTATGCCTCGTTTCCTCCGTAAACAGTCACCCTCGAGCTAGATATTCCCGTCTGCACCGACAGCCGGTGTTTGATTCTTTTTCTTGCATATTACATATCATTTATTTTCAGAACAGAAATTACGAAAGCTGATATTCTCATTACGCACTTTGTATAGAAGCGTATGAACCAGCAACTTCATTCATAACGGTTAAGTGACCTTATCCTTAGAACGCAATTCATTCATGAATGACGTCATTTAAAGCACGTGACTTGTCTTGCATAGGGAGGGGGTAAGACAGGGTTTTCTTGCATCGTTGTAAACGGTAGATAATCCTGTCTCATATGCAAGAAATAAATTGATAACATTTAGTAACATACTGGTCAGCAAATTATAAATAAAATTATGTATCGCCACTGCGGCAAGTGTGAGATACATGATCCAATCTGACATATCTATAATTAAAAAGAAGATAATAAACTGTACTGGTTTAGAACAAATTATTATTCATCGTCATACAACCAACTGTTCAGTCTTAAGCACTACTTAACCTTATTCAACGCTTTTTCAAGAAATATTTTAAAAGAATATACATATAATATATTTTTTTCTATTATTTGACCAGTAGTTGGAATACTTATAGGTCTCGGCAATACTGTCAAGTGAAAAAATGAAGTATAATACGCTAGACAAAGTCACTTGAAACATTTACAAAAAGTCAAAATATACAACAAAATTACTTACTCTATTATTAAATTGGTAGATATATTTGAAACCTACCGTATTATGAGTTGTATTCACATACAACAAGCCCTCTGTCATTCGATTGGAAAACGAATAATCGTTTTAGGTTGATCTTTTGTTTCTCACTTGACCGACCCCAAGTCTTGTTTAATTTGTTTCTTGTGGAGTTTAGACCTAGATTTAAAAGCAAGGTAGCATAAACTTGGATCATTTGCATTGAAAAATTTAAGTCCATATTCGTGTAATTTCAATGGTTTTACTTATTAGAATTATCCATTTACTTTAGTAACATTTATACAGATGGACACAGATATTTCAAGTTAATATTATTAAACAATGTATTCTTCGGAACACAGAAACACAGGAAGAGATGCAGTGGACAGTTTTTTTTTTCAAAACGTTTTAACAATGTAACGTTCCAACTTCCAAGAATTCTACTACTACTACTTCTTCTACTACTACTACTATTACTACTGCTACTACTACTTAAATTACCTTATACTACCATTTGTTCCAGCAAATTTCATTCACTTAAAATTCAGATTGCGCTATAAGCGGATCGTATACAAAATGAGTGCAAGTATTGCATTTGATTAAAGACTGATCAGCTTATGATCAATACATCTTATGAGATAACTTTCACCCAGGATGCATGTCCAATCACAGAGGATGAACATCATTGAAATCAGTTTTTTTTTATTTTGCCAATTTATAACGGGTCTTCTCCTTGGAATAAAATGAGGCAAATGAGCATTCAAACATAATTCAAATCAATGATATATTCTAGTAAATAAAATGAATGATTCTATAACGAGACATGTAATGATTGGAAATATTTAAAGGATAATAAAAACGATGTTTATTGTAAAGACAATGTTGCATAATTAAGTTGATTTTTTAAATCCAGTTAGAATCTGCATATTGTTAGATACAGATTCTAAGACATAAAAATAGTATCAAACAAAACAGTTATGTTTGAAAGAATAATCGAAAAGACAAAAGAAATTTATAAAGAATTACGTGTGACGGAAATTAGTCTTTCATAATAATAATGATAATAATAACGATAATTATAATATACCTGTGCATTATAAAAAAATATAAATTTGAATCGTTATAGTACTGAAGCATGTTGCAATCATTTGCTACACGTTTCTTTAACCAATCACAGAAAGCGCCTTAGCAAGAAGCCAATAAGACCCATTTTTTCTTTAATTTTCAAACGTGTTTTAAACTTTGATTTTATGATACAGTTTCCAAAGCTGTGCACACATTTCTTATAACCAATAGCTTAATTCTAATAAAATATCCATGCTAAAACATGAGGCAGTCATTTGCTATATAAATATATTATATAAGTCAAAGATCAATTTTGTTTTCACTACACGGAATGTTGAGTAAAAGAATATATGTGTTTTCTATTATAACTATGTAACTATAAACCCTTCAAGTTTGATGATGTTTACTTGTCTGACGTAGCAAGTTACACACTAAGAACTTTCCACCGCAAAGGTAACTGAATATAACAAGAAAAAAGTCTCAGGGAAATCGTGATACGGCAAAAGTTACAGATATTAGTGTTTTTCCCGATACCGACTGTTGCTGTTCCATCAAGAGTTCCAGGCGGTTACGCATTCAATTCAATTTCTCTGTAAATAGGAAACGTTTTTTTCAGAATGGGAGTTAATAAAATATGCATGTGGATGTGTTTTGTGTACATTTTATCGGATTTCAAATCAAAAGCTGATTCTAAAGGGAATAATAATATGACGAAAACATTAACGGCCAATGAGGACAGTATGTATTCTCTATCAAATTATTTTATTTTGTATTTTAATTGTACTTTTTTGTCTAACACTTATCTTTTTATTATATGTTTTCTCTTTCAAATTATTTTATTAGCTAATTAAAATGTAGATTTTTGTCTTATTTATTTATTTATAATTTTACAAAGTATTGTATAACAGAAATATATCAATTGTAATGATGCGTTGAGTATTTTAAAATTCTTTCACAAGTTAATATCATACTACGAAAAGCGCACAAAAAGAGCATAGATACAATTTGAAATGAAGTTAATAATGAAATATTTCGATATTAAAAGAAAGCCGTTTGTTTTAAAAAACCACGCACGCATATTTGTCATGTAAAACAAATTTTACTTAAATACTATAAATATTCTTCATAATTAAATTTGAAGAGTCCATCCAAACCTGATTTAATTTAAAATGGTCGTTTTGCAAAATTTCAAAATGTGTTCATTTTAATGATTACATTGCGTGCCTCATGCATCTCTACTCTATATTAAATTTCACATATAAGCGTTCATATTATGAAAATCTACATAATAATTAAAGCCTTATTGTTTCAGAAAATTCGTTAACAAGTAGATTTCGGACTGTAAGTAATATATCAAGTGAACAACGGTTAATGACAGATTTGCTACGGAAGTACGAAAACTCCGTGCGACCAATTTACAACTCTTCCAAAGCAGTCGGGGTTGGTCTAGGGCTTACATTAACACAGATTCTTGATTTGGTAAGTTGGAATTAGTTCGTTTAAATGCGTGTTTTCTTAATTGATTTGTTATATTGATCTCCAATAAAAATGTTTCTAGAAAACAAACAATCAAATATTTTTGTAACTCAAATTAATGTTTCAATGAAAACAAAACTGAACACTTACAATTCTTTTAAAGAAAATGCTTTCTCATTTGATGAATTGAATCTGATCTAGAAATAACAATAAAATAGATTTATAATTTAAATGACTGATTTGTAAAACAGAACACTTAATTTTCTAACAAATATATATTTAGTAAAACTGATCTGAAATTAAGTCAAAATGATTTTCCTTTTCTTTAAGAAAAATACAAAAAAGAAGAGAAAATTCTATTAGAATATTGTAATTATTTTCACACCGCACTCAGTATTGATTTCTTCAGCGTTATTATTATCATAACTATCAATATCTCTTTAAACTAAGTTTCTTTCCGAAAATTATGCAAGCATACCATTTAAAACAACAAAACGGTTTGAAAAGAAAGAGACGTGACCGTGTTTTTTTATTATTGAAAAAGAAAATACAGAAATTGCTTAAATAAACCTCATATAAAGGCCAATGTTATAGCTTTACACAGTGCCTGATTCAAGTGAATTGGTCTACAATTGGCACATTTTCCATAAGTATTTAAGAGATATTGATAAAAGCAGTAGAAATGTACCATTTGGATAATATCAAGAAATATATCTGGAAACAAAATGTTGATAAAGTTCTAAAGTGATTTATTATATACATACATATGAGTAATAATAATATTTTCTTCTAGAATTCTTTATTATCTGCTTTATATTGATATGTTATATTGGATCACGTATATAGCGTTTACCTATAACATCAATTATTCTTTTGTTTTTCACCTATAAGACGTAGTACTCTCAACATAATTTTTATGGTATTAGACACCTCTTATTAAAGATTAACTTACTTTAAGACATTAGTTTATTGTACGCATCTCATCTTCTTTTTTCCAGAAATATCAAAATTTAGATATGAGTAAAAGTCGTTAACTCTTTTAGGTACAGATTGAGGTAAAAATTCTAAATTCAGTGACATCTTATGTACACCATTTAGGTAGTGGTATTTCCATTAATTAATAATATTGATTAGATCAGTACCATACGTGACAAAAAACACCGAACGTATTAAACATTTACTGATTAAATAACCATATGGATGTTATTTAAAATATGTAGGTTTGATGGTCTAGCCCATAATGGAGGGTATGCAACACCATAAATAATTAAGATTGTTGTCGCAGAAGTAAGGCACGTTTGTCATAACTGCTTACATAACAATCACTCGTGTCAAAATTCCTACTTGAATGTAGTATAATATATATGCAATCTTTAAAAATGCTTTACATCTAAATTCTTTTTTCCCTACTATGTTGATACTAGTAAGTTTCACATGTTACATCAAATCATAAAATGATTGAAAAAGGGTGTTGCTGGTAAGAGTGGGTTAGGCATTCTGATATTATATATCAATATTAAACAATAATTAATTGTTGTTAAACAAAATATTATAACTCATCATGTAAATGTTCATATCAAGCACTTTGTAAACTTTGTCTGTAAGACGATAATTACGAATGTCAAAATGATACATTTCTATTGCATTTTATAAATATTTGAAATGCTTGTAATTGAGTCCATTGAAGATTAATCCATGTAATCAATAAAGATCACATGTGTTAAACATTTGCTCGAGACACTTGTGAACTCCCATCACGATTTGCATCATATTCCTTTTTGCAATATTTTATATACGCTTTTTCAAAAACCTTACACGCTTCAACAAATGTATGCTAAATATTAACGTTACAACTAAAACAACTGTATTCATGCGATTTTTGTGTGCTATGAATATGCCAAAAAGCGGAAGGAAACAAACAAGGTCTTAGGCACTCATGATTGCAACACATCTTTTTCTTGCCGTATTTTATCAATCAACCATTTCACAATATCTTAAACGCTAAAAGAAATGTATGTAAGATACTAACGTTACTGTTGACATAATTGTATTCACGCGAGTTTTATTTGTGTGCTATAAATATACCGGAAAACGAAAGATTACAAACAAGCACTTGAAAATGCTCTGAAATATTGTGGCCAAATTTATTACATTGTGAACATTCATTTTTACATTTAATCTATTCAATTTGTCCGTTTTGTTAACACAATTCGTATCTGAATAGATGACATGCAATGTTCTAAAAATATCAAGATATTTGCAAAGCTTCTCTAATCCAGTCAAAGTCAGTAAAGCAAAAAAATTTACATCAACTTCTTGGACGCATTTGATTTCTTTTTCATGGTTATTAAACACACTGCTATTTGACCTCAGGATAAAGTATCTTTTGCTTCCAGTTAATATTTGCATATACGTTAAATCCCGTACATTACAGCCAGTATACTAATTGTAGTCCGGCATTGACGTGGATTTTAAGTAATCCTTCAGACGGGTTGGTCATGATTGGAAACTGCTTCATTTGCATATTATCAGAAGTCAGCAATCCACTCCAATTTAATCCGGAATGGTTCCGATGATGAATAAGACTAATGAAAAGATAAAAACTGTTCTCTTATGATTTACGTGAGACTTTGGTTCTGGTGGTTTATTGCGTACCATATCCGTTAACTTAAGGGGAAATATTTTCGTTTCAAAACTTGCTTTGGTATTTTATTACGCTTTGACGACTTGGTTACTTTATAACCATGTTATGAAATTTCGCTTTTTATAAGTATTTATTGAAAAAAAGAACATGAAAAATGACAACAACAAAAAATCACAAAATACAACCGTCCAACCCACCTCCCCCCCCCCCCCCCCCCCCCCACAAAAAAAAAAATAATGAAAGAAAAAAAAATCCCCAAAACAACAACAACAGTAAAATGCAAACAAAATCCGCATTTCAAAGCATATAACTCATGGAACTATATCAGATATTGTAAAAGCAAACACACTTAAAGGCATTTTCATTAGTATGAAATATTATTATTGATTATAATAGATGATCGAAATCGGTAAACACATTGTTTTGTTGCTTTTGTGTATACCAATTTCACAGATTAATATTTCGTATTAATATTCCGTAGAAATTGTTTTATGTGTATTTTGGGATGCAAAACACCTCAGCTATCGTAAGAAAAGATCTCCACTAACTTAAGGTTTATTGACATGGCGGGAATCGAAAAACTTTATTGTTGTTTTTTATACAACTTTTTATACAGGTATCTTGCTTGCAAAATATCAGATCATTCGCAACCGCTGTTTTACCAGAACACTCATTTTAATTATGTAAAAAGAACTTAAAATTTAAAGCGTAAGAAAACGCTTTTATCTCAGTCGAGCAAAGAAGCTATTTTTCTGTCTTATTGCGAAAATATTGATCTATTATCATTCTTCCATATGTTCCTGTTAAAATGATCCTGTTGTAAGATCGTCAAGTTGTATGTTTAACATGTCCTACATTTAAAACCCGTAACAGTAAAGGCAAAGATAATAGGAGGTTGCGTAAGCAATACCATGCTTTTCATTATATATATTTATTATATATACTTATTTCAAAACGGAGTACTAAAAAACTTGATTTCAGCGTATGTGCTGATGTACCCCATCATTTATCGTAAATTTATTTCATTCCTTTCAACGTTATTTTTCAAATTTTAGTGAATTTCCAATAGTGGGTTTAGTAGAGTATTGAAATACTCTATACTACCAAAATTATTACGAAGACATCAAGCAACAATGTCTCATTTTTAACATTTTTATTGTTGTAACAAAAATGTGTGGTTTTCTTACAATATTTCTTTTCTTCTTTCACTACACACCTGTCTGTCTTGTAGTGTCCAATAGAAACTTTTATCATTTGCTTAAATCTGTGTCAATTTTTGTTGTTTACGTCTGTTCATATTTCAATGTTAATTATATTGGTTTTCGTAGTAAATTCCTTACGAAATTCATTATTTATAAAGCGTTCCAGGTTTTTCATTCAGGAACGCAGTTCATAAAATCGGGAAATTGATTTGTGTGCAGAGAGCAATAAATCGTTGTAGAACGTAATTGCAAATCAAAATAACTTGTAACTAAAAATAGATTTGACTCCCGAAACATAAACGAAAAAAGAGTCTTTTCAGAATAATTAGAAAAAAAATCAAACAGAATATTGTAACCTTTTTATAATAAAATGTTTTTAATTTAAGTATTACTATGTCACTGAGTTCGATGCATTTCAAGTACCTGGGTTTTTAATCAATTACAATTGAGCTGACCAACAAAAATATATTCATACAAATCAATATGACATGATATAAAAATGGTAACATTTATAAAGCCTCTGCTTTTAGACAACCAACATAAACATAAAACTCTGCTGCATATTTTTCTCTTATAAATGATGACAGAGTGATTCATCTGCGATAATGTTTTTGTAAAAACTTTTTTAAACCTTTTTTTAATACAGTGATTTCTATGCACTGATGACAGTAAAACTGATTTAAAACGTCCAATCATTTCTGCTTTACTTCCCTGCATTTATGTGGCTACAAATATCTGTTGGTTATCTACAAATATCTGTCGGTTATCTTTCTGGCTTCTGTCCTCTTACTTACAATAGCATTATTTATCAAAACACTACAAGACCTCGTTTAGGAATGAATGCAAGTTTTATAGCAAGTGTTCCAAGACCGACAGACATAATTATAGTCAAATATCAAGTTTTTCTTGCAGACGTTTGTTTACTTATATAAAATCATCTAATTCTTACATTTGATACTGCAAGCCTTTAGATGAGCCAAAAATATTTCAAGAAAAAACATTGAGGAAAATATCTTAAGATTGTAAGAAAAACAAAAAGATTTAAGATCAAAATAATAATTTGCATGTAATGTGCAATTAATGTCTGATTGTGCAGTATTTATCAGATTTGCATATTTGTACTGCGTGATTAACGCAGTATTTTTGTATATTCTGACCTCGTTTGTTATAACTTGATGCCGTTTGCAATATGTAATGACTTCATTTTGTTCACCTCACAATATTTTACTAATTTGAAAATACATTTTCAAAATTATCATGACAATAAGCATGAACTGGAGGCATGTAAAAAGAGAATAAACTGTCAGGATAAAATAATGATAGGTGTTTGTTTTCAAGTACTAGTATTCAAATAATTATAATAAAATGCTTTTCGCCCCATTTGTAATCCAAATAGTTAAATAAAAAAATCCTTCCCGAATATGACTGTGCCTTTCAGTACATACATAAAATACCGTGTTTTGCTTATTGTAATTAATAAATTGTACTACTTAATAATGTACTGACACAAAGTAAACTAATATAATGCGGATCATAACAACTTTGGGTAGCATAATACTTCAATATTTTCAGAATTGATTAAAATAAACTAATCAAAAGGGATAGTGACTTTCACAGTATTTCAACAATAAGTGACTGCGTGCTAATGTTAAACAATTCTTGAGCAAAATGGACTGTCTTAAAAACTATTCTCAAATGCCAAAGCATCATGTTGAAATATTGAAATTAATTCAATTTCACAATTTTAGAGGTTTCCTTAAGTAAAGTATTAAAAATATTAATAACATGTAAATTACGGAATGACACGCGACATTCAGCACAGCATCATTAGTCTGATATTCCAAGCAATGCCCTAGTACACACGCATTCATCTTCCTTAGATATTGTCAAAAAGAATAAGAGCAGGGTTTTATTGGCCTGATTTTCATATTAAATCATTAAGACTATCTTTATAAGCACATTTTATATTCGCTTTAGCTAAAAGTATTTGAAAATAGCTCGAAAAGTGGTTTGAAGTCCATAACATTAACCACTCGGCCACATGTGTAATTATCGTTAGAAAACTCTGAAGGAAAAAGTCACTATATTTTGAATAAATTATTCTTGTTATCGGAAATAAAACCATGCTTGTAAAATAAACCATCAATTTTACTTGATTTATTTATTTATTTTTATACATAGATACAAGTTACAATCAATAGTCATAATAAAAAGTATATAGCCACCCCATAGTGGAGTTATAAGAGACTGGGTCATTATCAGCAGAAATATATGCGTTCGTATGTAAAGACATTATAACGGATTCGTCTATCTCAGTATAACACACTATTTATGTGAGAAAATATTTAATTGCGGTCCTGTTTTTAGACACATAAATCGCCGGGGTCCAATAAAAGTGTTTAATAGAGATCAATTTATGTATCAGGTCTGTATCATACATTTGGCTCGTATATCATCATGCCTTCTTGGTATATCCCCCATCATACTTAATTTCAATGATTTTACACTATTCGATATATTGCGAGTCTTTTAAAAAAAAGTACCAGACAACTTAAAATTTGAACAGATATTAAAATAACTTCAAAAGATTTTTGAATATCGCTCAAGGAGACGTGAGGGATGTTACACATTTCCATTACCCTTCATGAATTACCCTTCATGTACTTTTACTTGCCTGCACAATTATATTGTCAAATCTTATTTTCTACTTCTCCTTCTTTTGATAAAAATAAAAAATTAGCTTTCATTTTGATGAGTGTTGTCCTTAAATTGTTGCTATTTCTCTAGCTATCTTCTTATTTCCCTTTAAACATCTACAACGATTCAATACATAACATTTTAATTGTAGTTAATATGTAGTATAACTTAAACATGTTAGAAAATGGGCATCGGGAGCAATTTCAAAAGAAAGTTCCATGGGGACAAAAACAACAAACCTAATTATTTTTGTTTCAATGGTAAAACAAAAATTGAAATTGTTTTTTTCTTTTCCAACGCACCTTGGTTATAATATACTGTCTATGATGTACCTTTCATCTAACACGTCTAACAATCATTCATCGTCAACTAAACATCTAAAGAAAGACTTGCTTTTTAAAAAAAAGAAAGACAGAAAGAAAAAAAGCCAATTGTCTGTTACTATTATTTCGTTTTAAGTATCACTTAAGTCATTATCCTGTCCTGTTATCCTGTTATGCCTTGCGCTTTGTCCTATTTTTGTTTGGGGGGCTCCTTGCCGCTGGTTCTTCTTGCTGAGTCTTGGGTGTGCGTGTTGCGTTCATTGAACGCCGCCTTTCCTTGTTGATCTTGTCTATCCTAATATTTACTATTTTGAATAATTAAACGTATGCATCCTTTTGAATTAGTGATTTATAGTCAGTATGAGCATAAAGAAACTCTGGTGGAAAATATAGATCAAATTTGTAAAATGAACCAATTGAATCTGATCCGCAAATGCCTTTGTTGAACAATGCCAGCAATTGTTGGGAACTTTGTTGGAAATGTCGAAATGACAAATATAAAACATTTACAGAGACCTGTATTATTAATTTACATGACAATGAAAAAGTTAGTTAGAATTAAGGGACAAGATTTACTTAATTCGTCACTTGCTTGATATTGTTCCAAAAGCTGTCCAATATTTTTTACATAAACATTATAAAGAGTTTGGAAAGAAACGAATCGTACAATCGTACATTACATTTTAAAGCAAAAATTAAAAAAAAGAGTCTAAAGATTGGACAACAGGGACATGCTAGGGTGAAATGGGTCATTCTATAGGCGGTATAGGTTAATGCAAATTTTCCTCAATGCCCCAAAGCACCCGCTTAAAGTATGATAAAAATAAGATCAACAAGGAAGGGTAGCATTCAGTGAACGAATTTCTCAATACAGAACCTACGGCAAGGAGCTCAGCAGGACAAGTTCAACAATTATAGCAATCAAATGAATGTACAGTGAACCAAATGTGCAAACACGGCTACTCTTCTGGGCAAACAATTGATAGCTTTTTTGTTATGACAAATGACGAAGAGGAAAAAAGCCAATCACAATTAAATATGACAATTTCGACTGAGTCTGACAAGTTGTTTTTATTCAGCAGTAAAATATGATCCCGATGTTATCATTAGTCCGTGTACGTTTAATGACATTAAACAGTAAAACATTTTAACCTGTCCGTCTATTAGTACCATGAAGAGGCTTTAGCTTAAATACACGAATCATAAACTGAATCAAAGAAAATTCTGAAATTGCTGCTGAAAATAGAAAATATGATAGGAAGGATTTATAAGTTCACTGTTAAAAGACGCAAGCAATACAAATCGAAGATATATTAAATCTGATGCTTTTTATGAATATTATATAACCATAAAGTTGTTACATCATATAATCATAAAGATATAAGAATTATCCATCATATCAACATTATATCATACCAACATGTATTTTCAGGATGAAAAGAACCAAGTGTTGACCACAAATGTTTGGATGGAAGTGGTAGGTGTGATTTGATACCATTTTATACAACATTATACTTGACGATATGTGTAAATATAAAAGTTCATATTTCGATTAAAATTTTTTTATGAATGGAAGGGCAGGGTGTATCCAAATAAGATACATTTATTAGATGCTTAATTATATATTTTGTCAAAAAATGTAAATATGTCATCGTTTATAAGCCTTAAAAAGCCAAAAGTTATGAAAAATAATGCAAGTTATGATACATATGCCAATGCAATCACACACTAAGATAATTAAGCCCACTTTTAATTGTCCCGAAGTAATCTAACTTACCTAAGAAAGAAACTTGAGAAACCAAAGTTATGTCAAGTTAATCAAGTGATTCACTATGTATTTTGTCATGATAATAATGTTGAATATAATATTTTGAAATATATGGATGGATATATCATCTTGATTAATTGCATTAATTTCAAAATTAAATCTATACCAAATAATGTTTTTAAACTATGAACAAGGAATGGAAAGATGAAAAGTTGATTTGGGATCGCCGCGACTATGATGGAACAGACAATATCCGTATACCATGTCGTCGGCTGTGGCTGCCCGATATCGTGCTGTATAACAGGTAAAATGATATTTCTGATCCTTCGGGATCATTTAATAGCTGACAATTGAGTACGGCTGAAACCGGTGCTAGGGGGCGTGATTTTGCACTTATTAATTATCTCTCATGAACAGTCTCAATCAAACCGAGTTTGCAATTGTTGTAATTAATGCTTCCGATCGATCACCATTCTTCCAGAGTTTTTATAATAATAACTAATCAATCTTTAAAACATGGATTTATGCACACCGGATGTTAATTTGTCAAGCATGTCTATATTCAGTATCTTCTTTACTACATTTAGAAACAAACATTTGTTTTTCAAAATCGAACATAAATTTGAAAGTCTGTTTGTACCACAATCGTTCATTACACCAGGACGCAGCTTTGCATAAGCATTTTTTGCAACGAAAGTGAGAAAATTCCAAATTGAAAGAAAAATAAATAAAAAATGTTGTTAGAGGTAGGAGTAAAGTAAAGGATTAAGTTGTAAAGTTTTTGTTGATAAATAAAAATCACATAGTAAAGGAACGATAAAATCAAGCAAAAGGCTAACTCATGGTTATGCGATTTTACCCATAGCTTCTATCATTCCCCTATACATAGGTATTTGTACTTAAAGTAGCTCCGTTGAGGCCCACAAAACTATGAAACATGAACCCAAAATTGTTTCTTTCCTAATCAAGTGCAGCACTATAAATTTAACAATCTGCAAGTATTATAGAATGAATTTGAAAATCGATACTCAGTACAATTTGTAGCCTAACTGAGTGAAAAACTTTGCAGTTCTTTCCATTTTTTGGGTCATTTTTAGAAATGGTTATAATAGAAAAACGAGCTGAGGGATTGGTCTGAAAATTTGCACACATGTTATATGCTCAGACTTTTATGAATTGGATAAAAATATTTTCAGTCCTGCCATGTATACAAAAATTAGAGGAGTCCCTTTAATGTGGGTAAAATGCAAAAAAATAAAAAAAAAGCAACGGTATTCATAATTATGCATGTTATGACATATCATTTATCTTTCATTTCAGTGTTGACGACTATACTTCCGGTTACATGCCCAGTCTTGCTATGGTGTATGATAATGGACGTGTATTCTGGGGTCCAGTTGTCAGGTTCCGTAGCTCGTGCAAGATTGACATTACTTTTTTCCCCTTCGACGATCAGGTAAAAATTTCCAGGATAAGCAAGATTCTTTATGAACTGAATAAAAGATGTTAAAAAATAAGCTACACAATATTAAAAAAAACAATCAAACTTGGAAAAAAATCAAACAAAAAACAACCCTTACTGAAATTTAAGAGGAGTAAAACAAAAAAAGAAAGAAAAAAGAATCACGATAAAAGTAATAGTTTACATGTAATGTGTGACTTATGACCGACTTAATAGTTCATCATATTTCTAATTCTAGTTACTTACGCAATTAGGGCTATTTTTGCATATATTGATTTGTTTGTTTATTTACATAAGTTCATACTGTGTCTGCAATGTGAATGTTTTCTTTAGTAACATTATTTTACTATATAATACATTGTCAAGGTTTTTTATGAAAATAAGCATAATTCAGGAGGCGTGCAGATTTTAAAGACATCAATTAAGTTAAATAATGCATGTAGAAATATTAAAGTAGTTTACGTCATTGCCTTTTTAACAAACATTTATATCACGAATATAGTTTTGTAAAACAGGTAAATAATTAAATCATATTTTGATAGGGTAGTATTTCAGAAATAAGGCATCAAAGATTTTATTCTTGAATTTGTATTTCTTCCCTTCCTTGTTGCAACTTGTTGCACGACTATAATGTATAAAACATCCACTTTTTAGAACTAGAACATAGTGCTAATAAAAATCATATTAAATTTAGATATGTCACCTTAAGCTTGGTTCTTGGGCATATAACGGTTTCCAAGTGAACGTCATTAATCGATCAGAGACGGTTGATTTATCAAACTACGTTGATAACGGAGAGTGGAAATTGATTGGTTTAAAGGTAAGCTAGGTGTAGGTAATAGTTAGATATCTTATTCCGGAATATAGGTACTAGTTTAGAAAAGAATGTATGCATAAAAATGCAAGTATTTGAGATACCATATGGGAAATATTTCAAATAATAATAATAAGTCAATATTGGAAAAACACCTTCTCATGTGAAAATGTGTACTAAGTATAACGATAGGTGTTACGAAAATTAGGACAAAAAGTGAAACGAACTTAATTGCGATATTATCCCAAAAAGTCGATTTGATAGGCACTTTATAGTTCGTAATTTAGTCATTTAAAGTTCACAATCACTTGAAGAGTGCACTAAACGCAATTCTGTCCTGTTGAATTGCAATAAACGATTCCTTTTTGTAGATGATAAGATATCATAAAGAAGATGTTTATGTAAATATTTGTTATTAAAAAAAATATTATGTGGGTTTTAAAATAGGATTGATTTTTTGTACTGTTATCTTAATTACTTATTATAACCCCTGTAAAGAAGTGATACAATGTAAAATTTGTAAATTTTGTCACTATATATCTACCTCATTATAGACATACAAAGGTACGCTAGGTGTAGGTACTAGTGAGATTTCTAATTTGGAAAAGAAAGTATGCATCAGTCTTGAACAAAAGCTATGTAGTATAGTAAGTCAATGATTGCAGACCAAAAAAAATCTACTAGCATACAAATTTTGTATCATTTAAGTAATTACTGAATTCAATATTTATAGGTCACCTTTTGGTAGATAATTTCCTTAAAGAACATGGATTGTGACATGTCCGGGGTCCATTCCCTCAATTCCTGAATTGGCGGTTGTACTCTCATTTAGCCAATAATACATACATAGCCAAATAGTTTTTGAGTCACTATATAGTTCTTGTCTGGAATATTGATAAATCGACAGTGAATAAACTTCCGCTCACGTGACAAAATGTACCTAGTCTAGAGGTGCTACGAAAACTACGGAATGAAGGCGAGAGCAACTTAATTACGATATAACCCACAATATTTATTGACTCTTTGCGGTTCGTAATCATTTCAAGAGTGCGCACGTAACGCAATGCAATTCGAATGAAATGCTATAAATGAATCCTGTGTGGTAAATAGATAATAATGTTAAATACATGTTTATAAATTATTCATTATCAAAATAGGATTATGTGTGGTTTAAGAATAGAATTGATTTTCGTACAATTATTTAAATGACTTTACAAACCCATGTTGAAATGATACAATTCAAATTGATACAATACGTACCTTTCCGGAGCAGTAAAGTGCATGTAGTCTGACTTTATTGACCTTATAGAGATGGCGGTAGTCTGCGTATCACCATGAAAATGAAATACAGGCGTTAATTAAGATTCGATAATCGTCCAAAGACTCCATCAGAGGAATAACAATAACACAACCGGAAATGTTTGATATATGATACGCCCAATTACTTTATGTCGTCTGCTGTACTGTTATTGATTTGGCATTGTAATTTATCTTCTGCGGAAATGTATGACTATTTTATCTTAGAGAATGATTTTTATATTTAATGTTTGTGTCTGATCAACAACTACAATTATTTTAATATCACAGAAGGAAAATAAAATGATTTTAACGACACTGCTTATGGTGTCGAAATGTTACAACTATATAATAACACAGTCTGATATTATGAGTATTTTTTATTGTACATTCGTCAGTTTATTGCTCGTATGAAATTTCTAAACATTTTGTACCTGTCAAAGGTTTGAACGGCTATCATTTTATGAATCATGGATCGGCTGAAATATACCAACATTCGTACATCTGTAACAGCGATTGTTGGTGTTGAAAAAAAAACAACATAAAATATGATTGACTACCCGCTAGTTGTATAAATGCTGTAGTTCAGCATAGATTATATAAAAAACATACAATTGCATTCAATATATTATAATATATATTGTAATATCTTTAAAAGTTACTGATATACCAGAAATGTATCTTTTTATTCTTTTTAATTAAGATATTGTTAAAATTATTAAAAAAGGAAAAATGTCTCTGTGCAATTTTCTATGTAATAATAAATATGTTGTACAATTTATGCATGTTTAGGCATTATTAAAATAGTCACACTTTTGTAATGCACTTACACAAATTTAACTGCAGGTCACAAGAAACTCTGTTGTCTACAACTGTTGTAGTGAACCGTTTCCGGATGTTATGTTCTTCTTCCATTTGCGCAGACGCGTGAAGTACTATTTCATGAACATCATAATACCATGTATAATTTTATCTTTCCTATGTTTGGCTGGGTAAGATTTTAATACGGTTCATAATATTATTTTGAAGTCTACTGACTTGTTTGATTGAAGAACAAGTTCTAAAAAGGAAATAAACATACGACATGAACTATAAGCTCAACAATTATTAAATAGAATATGTTTAAAATACCTTTTACCATTTTGCATATTACTGAATTCATGTTATGGGCATGTTTAGCTTTATATTTTGAAAACAAAAATACTGATTTAGATGTTTTAATACCAAAAAAACTGGTTTAAGCAGTAATCAGCAAGAAACCTTGTCCATCGTAACGTACTTGAAAGATGGTTCTGCTTCTTCTATGTAAATATACACTAGTCAATATAGCTGCTTATAAGGATTTGATTTACCTTAGTGTAAAATAATCATATTATTGCATTCCTTTTTTTCAAATTTCACCGATTTGAACATGAATGTTGAACAGCATAGATCATCTTATTCTAGTACTTTATTTTGTTTTGTAAACATTTTCTTCAGTTTCTTGCTGCCACCAGAAAGTGGTGAAAAGATCACACTTGGTCTCTCTGTCTTGCTGACAATTACAGTGTTCATGCTAATGGTTGCTGACAAGATGCCTCAAACTTCTGAAAGTATTTCTCTCATAAGTAAGTCATTTATTCATATTATATTTTACAGAAAGTAATATAATGTCAAAAAGACCTTTTATGTTCATTTTTTATAAATATATGGTGAGATGAAAGTGGTTGTAAATGTTGTTCACAATTGTACAAGTTATTGACAACTGATAATGATGCGCTTCAAATTACTTAAACATTTGGTAATTGGGTACAATAAAAAGAAAAAAACAGTAAAAGTTAACAAATTGAATCGGTAAATGCATAGGCAACTGTTGTCATACATAACACGGCTAATTTCAAATTTAATTGTTTCCAAAATAGAGAAAGCAAGAATCCCCAAAGAAAGTCCAACACAACATAATTGAAAATGTTGCAGGCTCGGTTTTATTGAGCCTGTTCATGGACGGTACTGTAAAGTGCAAACTACCGTCCACGCCCCCTAGCACCGGCTTAAGCAGAATTCAACATTTAAAATGAATTGGTACAATTTTGAATTTTGAAACATCTGCAGATGTGTTCATATGGCGGTTATCATGGAACCTTCAATGTGACACTAAGTGCCATTCCATGAAAAGCGGCATATGGTCCCCAAGTAAAAAAATGCGTGTGCCCTAAACGAGAAAACAATGAGCGGAACTAAATAAAATGGAATTTTGAAAGGGGATCAGAGGTTATGAAGCCTGCATATCACAGATAATACGTCAAAAGACAATTTTAAAAAAGCAGGCCACATATCCTAAGGGTGATTCAACAGTATTCAAGTGAGGAATACTGGAACCACCCAACAAGAAAAAAAGCCAAATAGAAATAACTAAATTACTACAAGCACAACAAATATGTCGTGCTGAACAATCTTTAAGGATCGGAAATATAACATCTCTGATTGAATGTACGGGGTGACTCTTTACAGCCTCCACACGGAACAAACAACGCTGATGTGGCGATAAAAAAGAGAAAGCAAGAATCCCCAAAGAAAGTCCAACTCAACATAATTGAAAATGTTGCAGGCTCGGTTTGATTGAGCCTGTTCATGGACGGTACTGTAAAGTGCAAACTACCGTCCACGCCCCCTAGCACCAAGTTTTGTCTCATGTTTTTAGAAAGTATCGTCAAAATAGATTATGAATGATTTTTTTTTGTAGCTTGATATTTTTCAAATAAACATCTTCTTTGTCCTTAAAAGCGCTATGTTATTCAAACACAAATAACCATGATTATCACCTCCTTTTAAATTTTCAGGTATATATCTTATGGTCGTATTATCCATGTCATGTGTGTCTATCTTGCTTTCTGTCTACATCTTGAGTCTGCATCATCAACGTGGAAGACCTCTGCGATGTCCTCAGTTTATCAAGATCATTGCTTTCTCCATTTTCGCGCCATTACTCTGTCTGAAACTCAGGTCAACCGGTCACGTGACCGGAAAGTACAAACGGCAGGAAAATAAAAGTTCAACATTGTTTAAAAAAGATAAACAGGAGATGATTCATCTAGAAGGGATCAAGGAACATCAGAATTTTGAGGAAGAATTGGACCATTTGTTGTCTGACTCTAGTTTAAATGGTGGCTCTGATCCTGTTCTTAAACATTACCAAGATAAGCAAAACTCGGTGAATGAGTTGATACAATGGTTGCATAAGAAACATAACCTAGAATGCTTGGAGGATATGTCTTTTCAAGAGTGGCGTGATGTTGCTTTTGTTATTGATCGCCTGTTGTTTGTTATTTTCCTGATTGTGACAATAGCGGCAACTGCTGGTATTCTAAGTCTTCGTCCGGAACAATCACTCAGTGGGTTTACAGAAATTAAAATTAAATAGGAACAATTTAGACATTGAATCTAGCGACCTCATTTTATAATAATTGTAGCAAGCAAGCAAGGGAAATAATTTGATCGAAATTCAAACGAATTGTGTTATACTTGATAGTACAAATGAATGATACGTGAGAAACTGTAATATTGAAGGTATTTGACACGCACATTTCAACAGTTAGAACAAATACATACAGAGATTAAAATGTTTCACTAACACGGATAAAATTGTGTATGATTATTTGTTGGGTTTTACGTCACACCGACACAGTATAGGTCATATGGCGACGTTCCAGCTTTACTGGTTGAGTAAGACACTACGTGTCCTTCCGTGCATTATTCCAGGCACCTGAGTATAACTACCGACGGTCCGTAAGCTAGCTGAATAGCTTCATCACACGAAAGAATCCAAAGTCCCTGTCGGGATTCGAACTCACAGAGGTGCAGGACAAGTGATTTGAAGTCAACGACCTTAACCACTTGGCCACGGACATGGAATAAAACTGTTTTAAGAAGAAACCTTAATGTTTTATCTTAGTTAGAGTAAACCATAATTGTTGTTGAGAATGCGAATGAAAGTGTATTATTTCGACACAACATCAAACGTTTACTGCAGAATTCCTTGTTGACCGTGCTATGTACAAACCGCTTATTAAATGAAACGATGTTTAGGGTTGGCTCAGGATATGTATATTTGAGGCAATTAGAGGGTGTTGTTCCATGAATGCTACTAATAGTCTAATAATTAAGCACTATTGAATTCGGTCTGAGACCGACCAACAAATTGCTTTATTATCTTGAAGGTATTGCTTGATTTTATTATTACTGGTTTTACGACTAGTTCACAGATAAATCAATCTTCGATAAATGTTTCGGTGATCTTCATGAGATGTTTGTACCCAGTAAAATGTGATTACATTTACATTTTGCTTACAAAATAATTAACCCGAGCCTAAAGTGCAATAAATAAAGATATATATTGTATGTTACGTTCTGAGATATAGGCAGTCAGATGTGGTTAACGAATGCCTTATAGTGCAATAAATAAATAATGTTCATATTACTAAGATGAATACATTCAGACATGATAAAATTTAATTTTGTCTATAGAATATTTATACTGAGTATTAAAGCGGAGAAAGTAACCTGCGGTTTTGTAATGTTTTGCACTTTTTTTTTGCAAAGTCTATCCTCTTTTCAAATAACATTGTTAAGAAAAAATATCTTAAATGGTCATTAAAATACAAATCAAGAATATGTTTTTGCCAATCACATAACCAACTGTGCATTTTTGGATCCTGATGTCATGACAGTATACTCTATGCTTGTGTGATTTTTTTTTAAATATTAGTTATATATTCAATTGTAATTCTAATTCGCACGGGCAAGACCGAAGTTGGATCGAATATTTAGATTAATGCAATAATGTATTTATGATTGGCAGGTCAATATTCAAGCTATATTTTGTAATTAGATATTCTGCTTATTCAGAAATCGAACCCTAAAACACAGACACGCTTCAACACCAATAGAAAAGCTGCTTTTATATATTATAAGAGTTATGCAGGATATTGCACATTGGGGAAATTAATTATATAAAACAATTGCTTTTATTGTATACATGCTAACTTGAAAAAAGTATTATATTCGTCTCATTCCTAAAGTATGTACATATTCATACATAGAACAAAAGTGTTTGTTCTTCTGGTATCTTTGAATATATTATATTCTGAATTCCATTAGGATATTCATAAGGAAATAACGGTTACATGCAAATCAGAACGTTTGTGCTACCAAATTATAAAGTGATTAGTAACTTCTTCAGAAGGTGTTATGCTGTCAATCTCTGACGTTATGTTTTAATGTGTATAGGACATTTATCTTAATTGGTATCATCATATTCCGATTGGTGAAATTGATATTATATTGAGAGAGATAAACCGATATAAGATAGAAAATAATTTGTTTTCTCCAAATATTAACAGTCAATAATGTAAGTGAATTGTATGCCAAGGAAGGAAGCGGCATTTATTTAATAATGATTTTTTTAATTGGGTTTAACGTCACACCGACACAGTATAGGTAAAATTGTGACGTTCCAGCTTTACTGGTGGAGAAAGGCCTCATATTTCCTCCCGCACATTATTTCAGGCACGAACAGGCACCTGAGTAGAACCCCTGACGTTCCGTAAGCTAGCTTGATAGCTTCCTCACATAAAAGAATCCAAAGTCCCTGTCGGGATTCGAACCCACAGCGGCGAGGAGCAAGTAATTTGAAGTCAACGACCTTAACCATTATTTGATAAATAACTAAGAGAACAATTAAAATCTATTTAAATAAACATACATTTACATTTAACCAAATACGAATAACTAAATGAATAGTGAACATCAGTAATTAGGGCTAAATTTTCAAACAGTTGTGTTTTATTATAATTGGTAATTGATCATAATTGCTGTAATTCGTCATTCAAGTGATCAGTAAGAAGCATTTATTTTCATTTTAATATTTTAACAAAGCTGTGACAAGTTTGACGAGAATAAACTGAGTGTAAATGAAGATGCATCAATGAATAGAGGATATTGCACGAGTGTCGATTCAATACTAAATTTATTGAACGAGTTGAATAAAATTATATTATCTTGTGAGCAAAATATTGTTTTATTCAACGAGATCAATAAATTTAGAATTTCGAATATAATATTCTATTTATCAGATATTCAAAAAAGAACGGTTTACAGTAAAACAATTGTCATATTTCATTGCCGCGCCTGTTTTGTAACACTAGCATTAGCGCGCTTTAACGCTCTGTTTGTGTATAACTAAAACGACGTCATTTCAAAGTGTTATTACACTAGTGTAATATCGTTTTTATTAAATGGCTAAATTACACGCCTGCACCGCGGTTTATGCATAAAAGAGACTCAAGCATTTAAATGAATACTGATACACTATTGATGATAGTTAACGGATTAATCAATATGAACCATGTCGTAGGAATCTAATAACGTCATTTAATAAAAAAAACGATTTTACACTAGCGTCATGCGAAGTTGAGACGTAACGTCATTTGTCTTACATACAAACATAGCGTTGAAACGCTTTTAAGTTATCATTACACTATTGGCGGCGCGTAAATGAAAACATGTTTTACTATTTTTCGTTATATTTTAAGATATTTGATATAAAGAATATTATTATAAAGTTAATGCTAACGTTATTGAACTCATTTAATAAAACAATGTTATTCTTGCCAAGGGGAAACTTAATATGATTTTATTGAATTCATTCAGTATAATTATTTAGATCTAGTATTGAGCCAGCCGTTATTCAATTTCCGTTATGTACTTTCTTCACTTATAACTCTTTAACTCTAAAAAGAATAATGTTCAAACAGAAGTAAACATTTTAGATCGACTAAGGAAATAAGTAAAATCCAAGATTTAATATCAACGATGTACTTCTTCACTTTAGAGACAAGCATCCTGAATGAGTGCCATCAAAAGAAATTTACTCATCATAAGATAAAAGCCGTCTTTATTCAAATGTCATAAGTACACTCATTATGTGTACGGCCGCCTAATGGCGCCATCAGGATTTTTAAAAGATACAATCCACTGAAACAAAGGGTAGTGAATTTATGACAGAGCACAGTCAATATTGTAAATTTTCATTGATAAATTTCTATATTCTGGGATCGTTATGTTTTTTGTTGTTGTTGCTTTTAGTAGGGAATGTTTCGCTCATTTGTAATTTGAAATAGCTGTGTTCAAATTATAAATAATCAAACAGTAAATGGTTTATCACAATAATGTATAACTGTGTTTTTTCTTCTTTGAATTCCTTAACAGATGCTTTGCATGATTACTTAATTTGCAATTTGATGAAGCAAATCATTTATGGAGGTATTTGAGTTAACATAATTATAATTAAGGTTTACTTTCCTGTATATCAAATAAAACAAGCTAGTCTTGGCTAATTATTGTGGAAAACATGTAACTTTATACGTTTAATTTATCAAACAGTTAAACTTCATATTAAGTAATTAAGAAGTGTGATAATTCTTAATGGAATAGCATCTTAGTTCAGTTTGATTTGAAAGAGCTATCAAGTCTATCCAGTCTTAACCGACCTTAATATGCAAAACATGAATATACAACAAAGAGGTTATGCTTGTGATTGATAAACCTTTGTATAAAATAATCCGTCAAATATATAAATATGAATGCAGGAATAACAATAAAGTCAAATTAAAAAATAAGTGAAAAATTTCAGTCATTAATGAATAACACTTCTTTTGATATGTCTTTCTTAAATTAAAAAAAAAGAAATTCGTAATGATATATAATCGCGTTTTACATTTGAACAAAATTTTGTTACTGCGAGTATAAGCGGAATGCGTTGGTAAAATTTTGAAACAATACAACCTCCGCAGATGTGTTCATACGGCGATTGTCATGGAACACTGTGACAATGTAAATAACAACAATTTGAAAGCGACACATTTTCCCAAAGTGAAATAATGTATGTGCCTTAAATTGAAACATAATGGACAAAACTAAATAAAATGGTATTTTAAAGGAAATCAGAGGTGATGAATCGCATATAAAAGACAAATTTAAAAAGCAGGCAACGTATCTGGGGTAAATTAACATGATTCAAGTAAAGAATTCTGGAACCACAAAACCAGTAAGAAAAAGACAACAACAAATAAATAGAAATAACTTGAAGTATCACGAACACAACAATAATGTCGTATTAAACGATCTACAGAATATCTTCATAAAAGCCATATTTTCTTTCATCATGCTATGTAAATTTTTGCTTTTAACAAGCATGGAATATACTCAAAAAAAGCTTGTTATTTCTAAACTGAACATCAACGTACTGTCATACTGCTTGCTTTATTTGAAAATATTGATATTCATTTATAAGTTTTACAAATAAATAGAAAAACAGAGAAAGACAAAACACCTTAATAACTAAGCCGTGAATAAAACAACAACAATAACAGCAACTAAAATAAATAAAGAAAGAACGTTTGACAAGATACTTGAATACTTATCATTCAAATATTTCTGGTTCACGCAAATATAACAATTATATAAATTGATTCTTCCCTCTAAGGGAAACATAAAGGATGTTTACCAGATTGTTATATTTGTGAAAATATAATTTAAGAAATATTAGAACTATTGTGTGATATTTATTCAATATTATAATTTCATCATTACCCCACACGCGTTGTTTTATTTTTAATTTGTAAAATTGCCTTCTGTAACACAAATAATTTTCATCATATTTATTTTACCATCATTAAAAATCAAAGCAAACTTCCGACAGAGGCTATTTAATCTATAAAAAGTCATTTTTTCTTTAATTATTAACATGGAGTGTAATTGCTGTTTGCAATGTATGAATTACTTTCTTTGTTTACTTCACAGTATTTTACTTATAACGACATTTTCAAAATTTTCATGACAAT